AAAAAAAAAAAAAAAATTAAATACATTTTTTTTAATTTAAAAGTAGTTAAAATGAAGTATTGTCAATACAACATATTGTATAGTGTTAAGAATCAAATTGAAATTTTTTAGGGGCAAGTTGTAGGGATTCCTATGTGATCTTGATAAAAAAAAAGTCCGCTCTCTTTAATGAAATTTCACGAAGCTTTGTACGAGGTTTAGGAGAAAAAAAAGCAAAATATTTCAAACCTCCAAAATAGCTCAATCAATGATATAATTATCTTTAAAAGTTATAATAAAAAAAAATGGGCATGTAATTATACAGAGCCATTTACGGGATCGCAACTAGGGCAGGAGTAACTACTCATTGTTATTCAACAATTAAAAATGAATGAAACTCGGGAGCAATCAAGAGGTCATTGGTCGTATGCGGCCATAAGATAAGCCGCGTACAAGCAGGCCACAAAGACTTTGGCGAGAATGTAAAAAATACATTTGCAATTTTTCATGTAAATTTACATTTGCATAAGCGTATAGGTATATACATGGTGGGCACAGATGACTCTCTGCAGCGGACGATTCTCGATACTTGTTCGGAAACCATTAAAAAAGAATTTTTGACATTATCTAAATATCCAAATATGACCATCCCATATTGCTTTTCTTACGTTTGACATTTTACAGCTGCGGCGAGTAAACTGAGCAATTTGTTTGAGCTGACGCGATCCGGTGACGAGGTACAAGGACAATAACATGATCTGACACATAATATATATGCGTGTAAAATCCATTCACGTGAAATAAGTATTTCATTTCGTATTTCAGCCGTGTTATCTATGCACGTATAGGTACATCTACAACTACTTACATATCTTGTTCGAGGAGCCTGAAAACTGCTTGTATCCGTATCCCCACTACGACTCACGTTACTTTTTTTCAAGATGAGCCAAGGCTACTTTTGCACACGAAAAGTTTTTCCTGCACGAAACAACCATTTTTCGGGGGTGAGATTTTGCCTGACTGTTTTTGTTTTGTTTCAACGAGTTTTAAACTGACCGGACTACCACATTGTAGTAACCCATGTTCATTGCAGGATATATAGACGGAAAGTTATCGAAGCTTTCACCGATGAAACAACCATGAGTACCATTGACCATTCATTCATCACTTTCTAATGATATATACGTGCACATCTCTCTCACCTGTTTCGTCTCTTTTTATAGGTATACATACTCACCAACTAGCGCACACACAAGTAACATATTAAAATATGGTATTGCAATTTTTTTTTTTTTTTTTTTTTTTTTTAATATGAAAACGCTCAGAGCTTTGGTACATGTGTACGTGTGATTATCATGAGAAATATCCAAAAAATAACAAACAAAACAATAATAATAACTGTGATCGATAGTGACGTTTTCCTCAAGTCTAAGCTTTTTCATCCCAAATTTTAAACTACAGGAGAGCAGAAGGAACAATATAATGACAGCAAAAAGTACCACTGATATGTACTCAAGACTCGTAAGTTTCTTTTTACTTTCGGATGTGTATGTAGGCTTAACCATGGCATAAGTCCCGTGGATCAAACATCTATACATATTATTTGTTTTCTTTTTGCAAGTAACCATGCGTCAATAAACGTATTCAACCTAGCGCAATGAAGATTCCGGGCTTTTTTGTTGTGATTGAGAAACATTTATAAACCCAGCATCCCTTGCTATCGTCATTGTAACATCAATGAGTCACTCTCACATCGTGATTTGTCAGACTTGTGCTTAAAAAAAAAAAAAAAAAAAAAAAAGACGAGAGGTGTGTCCGTACGTAGCAGGTATACTACTACTGCGCATGTGACGTCATCCCATGTGAAATATTTAGAAATACATCTCATCCTATGGGAGAACAATGTATAGCTTTTGGATAAAAAGTTACAGATATTACCTACTTATACTTTCCTTCATTGTTTCATACAAAATTATACCGAATCCTACATTATGTGCGTACGATCACGCGCGCTCCTACACGGCATGTGTATTACACAGTTAACTGCGCGGATACGGGTACTGATGATAATAATAAAATTCGTGTTGTTACATTAGGATTTTTTTTTTTATGTAAAATGGTACTGTTTGAAAAGCAACAGTGAATTCAAATGGGAAATTCAAGTCAATTTTTTAATTATTTTGATTACAATTAAATATGTAAACAAGTTTATGATGTTTTGAAAACTTTTTTTTAAAATCTTTTTAACGCACAATGCGCACAACCTTACTATTAAACGCCAGAACGTATTAATTTTTTTAGTATCAAGTTAAGAGAATTAGCATCCCAGGCAGTACATTTTTTTACCAATAATCCAAGTGCTATGATTTCCTCTTTTCCAACTCAAAGAGGAAAGACTTTTTACTCGGGCATTGAGATTTCGCGTATAAAAAGTCGTGTTTGTACTAAATTACATTGCACAATGTAATATCACTCCAAATACATGAGTATGGTATTTACGTATAAGTATAGAAGACGATAAGGAAAAGGTGTAAACATAAATATATATAAGTATACCTATTTACAGATTCATACATGGTACATTTCTTCAAATACGTTATGTTGCAACTTTTTCTAAAAATATAACGCATTATTCGTGGTGGAAATTTTCTTTTAAACTGCTTGTGAATACACTACTCAGTAAAATCAAAGGATCATGTATTGAAAGAGGAAACAATTAACCATTCCTTAGGAATATTTTGCACTATTGGTTGATAAAAAATTTGACGTACAATATACACGACAGTATGAGAAAAAAAATTGTTTTCTCCAGGTGTTACAAAATCCATGAAGTGACGGTGTCAAAGACTACCCTTATTTTCAAGTAAACACACAAAATGATAGGCAAAGGGGAGGAAAAAAAAAGTTTACGCCCTTCACGCCCTGCACGCATGTAAATAGTACCTAAATTGCACGTGAATGTCATTGAGAGCTTGCGGTGGAACTCCACCCCCATGGATATGACAAGGGTCCGAAAAACAAGCAACCCTGTGACTACGTATACGTATTGATTTCTTAGGAGAATCCGAAAAGTTTCTTTTATTTAATCACCCCGAGTAACAAAAAAAAAAAAATGTATCGCAAGCAATGTCTCTGTTTGTTCTTTTATATTCTTTTCTCTCTGTAAAGGTAGTCTGCTACGTTAAAGGTAAGTATAAATATAATATACCTGTGGGTAAGATTTTTCTCCTACCTTGACGGGGCGCAGCTCCCTCGAGGCGAACGAGGTATATGGGTGGTGACTTGGTGCGGTGATATGCAGGAGCAAGCAAGCAGGCTGCAAGTGATGTGGGCGTTAATGAAGCCTGACTCGAGGATCGCGGGGGCGTCGAGGTGATGGCCTTACCGTTTGGCTCGCTCCGAGCCGCCAAACAGCCACCACCTGCACAAACGCTTCATCAGCCATTTCTCGCTCTCTCTTTTTTTTTTTTTTTCTTTCTCTTCTCGACACAATGCCCAAGCTTCGGTACACCTTCCACTGGAGGATCTACAGCTGAAGCTTTTCGGATCAGGTCACTGATGGTCGTGTCTCTTCTGTTGACTCTTATACTTCCAAGTAGTAAGTAGTTATATTCACTCTCTCTCCGAAAGGTGTTTAATATGTATATTGCCGAGGATGAGAAATGATCGAGTGCGACGGCGAGTATCGCATCGCCCACTCCCTCGGCAAGCTATCGAGCGACTGATTCACCAATTCACCACTCATTTTGTTGTGTGTTTGTGTATACACTGTTTTCAGCAGGGGGGCTTGAGGAGGCGCTCTCTCTCTCAATATTCTCTCGATGGAATTGGAAGCGCGCGAAATTCAAATGCTACAAAATTGAAAAACAATAATACTCGCGTCTCAACTTAAAAAAATAATTCTTTATATACGTTATAGGAAATTTACCTTCTCTGTCGAAAATAATATGATACAAGCATGTCACATTAACTACCCCATCACATAATATGACTCCGCACAATTTTCGTTCGCTACATAACTAAACTTTTTTTTATTATTTATAATGTCATAATGCCTTTCCAGTACATGACTAGTCCTTCACAGTAATCGTTATTGCTATAATGAAAGAGGTGAACTTATACTCTAGTGGCACAAGGTTCTAATTTTAATATCTAATGCGGAAATTCAAGTAAAATGGCTTATTCAAGATTTTCAACATAGAATTACTCTATAAATAAATGAATGAAAAAATAAAGTCATGAACGAGGGTGACCTAGAGAATAAAGAAAATAGATTACCATTCAAGAACTCTTTTTAAACTTGTAAAACGAAAAAAATCTTAGTTTTAGGCTGTGAGATGGATATTTAAAGCTCAAAAACAAAATTCAATTTGGGGAGTACCAGAACTTTTAATGGATAATTACGTGCAACATTAACAACTTTTTGTCTACTTTCGTTCTTTTTTTTTTTGTTTTTCAACTTTATAAAAAAAAACGAAATAAACGATTTATTTTTATAGTGTGGAATTTTAGTCATCTCGTACATTTTTGATATTTTTTCTTTCCTATTTTAAAACATCCACATGATTTTCAGTTTTATATGTAACCTGTGTAACTTAACTTCAGTGAGAAAACGTATGGTTAACCATCATACGTAGAACCTTTTTTAATGTTGCTCTTTTACAATTTTCCTCGTTGATTATTTACTATTTGAAAGACTTGAGATTGTATATTTTTCTGTAGTTTGATATACTTAAAAAAACTTTAAACTTAATTTGTTTGTAAATCTTTAAAAGCAAACCTTGTTTTGTCACTTTGATGGGTTAGTCTTAGTTTTTATTTTATTATAAATTATTATTGTATGTTTTTTAAAAGTTAACATAATCTCAATACTTTCTTTTTAATTATGATTGGTGTACATTCGTTGGAAATATAATTTAATACTTTCTAAACCCAAACAAAAGCGTTATTTCGCACAAAAATCAACTTTATAGAATTCCTAAAACTAGAAACTTAGTCAGAGGCACACGTTCGAGTCAAAATTTTTTATCCTTCACACGTCTCCAAGTATGAAAAATTTGTATGCATTAATTAAGAAATGTGCCAAAAACTTCTTGAGACTTATATTTTAATACACAGCTATTTTGATTGGTAATACTCTTTTTATAATTGTTTTTGTGAATATATCCTACAAATGATTATTGACGTTGAGGGGAATTCAATTCAATTATAAATAAAGAATACTTGACTGTATTAAAAATATATGTACACTCATTTTATTTCTAAACACATGCTTGATTTTATTACTTAAATTTAAATAATTTTGAGAAACTTATAACATATTTAGACCAAGAAAACGTGAACATAAAACAGAGAAAAGATAAGGTTACTTAAATAAAATAAACACAAATTAAAAAAAAAAAAGTTTAAAAAATTTTTATAAATACTGCCTTTTTACAATTACAATTAGTAAAGATTAAAAAGTTTAATTTACAATAGTTTCAAAACGAAAAAATCTGTATTGCATATAGTTGATAACCGATCTATATGTTATTGGATTTGTTTTTTATGTATAATGAGAATGGAAGTAAAGAGTGTTAATACACTTGTAAATTAAGTCATAAAAGAACTCGTTTCTTCACTTTTTTTTCTCAAACTCTCACTTGAACCAAAAATATCTATATCACTTCACATCACGCACACTCAGTTTTAGTAACTCTGGGCTTTGACTTGGCAGGAACAGTAATGTCTATCTCTTCGTTATCCGAACTCAAGGGCCTTTTACCTGGATGTTTGGTAACCTTCTCCTCGTCCTCACTATCATCGTCGCTGCTTTCATCATCATCCTCTTCATCGTTGTTGTTGATGAGATTGTGTCTCTTGAGCAGCTCATTAACATTATCGGAGTCCTTAAATTCGAGAGGACCACTATTAACATAGAAGCCTCCATGTACTGTCGTGACCTCCTGAGGTACAAGTTCGTCGTACATGTCGGTGTTATCGATGAATGAGTCGCTCTCATCATAGCCAGCACCCAGATCTACATAATCACTTTTTTTTCTGTTTCCATATTTTTCTTCAAAGTACCTGGCAACGTCGAGGACCTTTTCATCTTCATCCGTGTCATCAAAAGGCGTTAGTGCACTCGTGCCATTAGTGGTGCTATTACTTTTGTCTTCCTTTTTCTTCTCCCTTTTGCGCTTCTTCTCGGCGTTCTTCAACAGATCTGCATAGTTGAACTCTGGATACTTTTGGTCATTTGACTCAAAGAGATTTAAATTAAAACGGATCGAGGGTGCTATTTGTTTGTCCTTCTTCTTCTTTTTCTTCTCCTCAGACTTATTTTTGTTACTATTGCTGGCATTGTTGTGGTTGTTGCTGGTACCAGCAGTGGCTGATGCTTTACTGTGGGTGATAACGCTCGGCTCCAAAGGAGGACAACTCTGCAGGGGTACTCGCTTTGGCTCTGCCATTCTTCTTTGACCAATTTCGTCCTTAAGCCTTTATTTATTGACATTTACCTAACTTTTTGTTTAAAGAATTAAGATTATTACAAGTAAGCATGGGAGAACAGCTGTTGTTGTTATTGCTGTGATATATTTCAAGATAACCTTATAATGTAGTACTGCTGATTGGTGGTGTTGGTCGTTGACAAATGCCGATGATGTCCAATTGATGGATGCTGGGCTGCTTGCGATCCGAGCTGCTCTTCAGCTATCCCGTTTCACTCGTCTTCACGTGTAAATAATTATAGAGTAAAGTAAGCCACTAAACACATTACTTATACATACAATTAGCATAACACCGATAAGTATTACATTGTATACACAAACATTGCTTCTGATGAATTGTTTTTTCTCTGCATTCTTTTGCAAGACTTTGATTGCTATTATCTGTATGTTGCGGTTATGTTGCGGCGCGTTTTATTTTTTTTCACTCCCAAATTTTTTTCCTTGTTATACGAGATAAGTATAGGCATACTTAGGCGTGGGTATTGCAAACATTGACTTTGAAAAAATTACTCGTATCTGTAGTGTTTAACGCCAACATTATTAACTGGTTGTTTACATATACTATAGGTGAGTACAATATTTTATTATTTTTTGTAATGACGTCGGACCACTCTCGGGCCGGGCAGTCTCGACTGTCTTGAGTATCGAGAGACGAGAGTCGACTGTCGAGTTAAATCTCGAATGGCCGATAATCGCCCATACAGTTGTACGTACGGGTAAATTATTCGAAATTTTATATAAGTTGAATTATACGTAAAAAAAATTCGCACTTTCGATTATACTTCTATTTATGTATTTAAGTACATGGATTTTGTGCAAATAGACACAGGGTCATATGATAGAACTATTGAAGGGTGCGATAGCTGAAGCTCTTCTTCTCTTATGTGGTAATTGATAGTCCGCAATCACAGTAAAAAATTATTCATAAATTTACTATACCAGCGTGGAAAAAAATCCGACATTTAGCATTGGCTAGTACAGCGTTGTAAAATTACAAAAATTTATGACTGACTGACTGTTTAGTTTAAAATTGCAGTTATGAATTAACTAATTGCAGTCTGGGGATTAGTGAACTATATCAAGCCCCACGAGATGATAAACGCAATAGTAAAACTGGAGCACGAGATTTAAAGAAAAAAATGAAATTAACAGTAATGTTTTATTATGCCTTAACCCCTTTTTTTATTGTACTATTCATATTAATTGTTAATAATTGAAATGTCAAAGCAAAATATACACTATTGGCCACACGACGACTCACAAAATTTCTTATTTATTCGCCTGGATATCGCGTAACTGCCAAATATTGACGGTCGCAAACGGTCGCGTTGACTTATCGCAAAATGTATTATTCTCGGCAAAAGATTCCAAAAAGAGCGCACGACTGTTACGGGCAAGACTTTTATCTATACTAAAAAGACAGCAAGTAATAACTTTTATAAATGACACCGTGAAAAATCCATATTGATCTCGGTGAAGTATTATATTTTCAAATACGTGAAGGAAAAAATAAAGTTGCAGTAAATTTAAAATAGACCAACAAAAATGATTGCCGTACGCGACAATTGCCATGATTTGAGAGGGTAAAAAATGTTGTAATAAAATCATAGAGAGGTATGCGCATCCAAAACAAAGGACGGATCATGTACATTTTCCCACGGGATGAATTTGTTGAACGCACGCTCCAAACATAAGTAATAAACATCTATTCGCGCGTACATTCGAACGCCACTGAATTTCACACCCCAAGTAACAAAGTATGGCATTGTAGTTTTCTCAATGATAAATAACTTTTCGCGCAGTGGGAACTTGCCAACTGTATACGACTTTGGAGTTGCCGCGCACTTTGCTCATATTTCATATATACCTTTTTTTTTTTTTTTTATATTCATCATCGCCCCTTGAGGGCTCAGACACGGCTATTTTGACACTATAAAGTGTATTTAGCCATACGTTGGGTTTTAATAACAGTAGGGGGAAACGGTAGATAGATCGGTAGGTTTATTGAAGTACAAATCTCATCCAGAAAAAAACCTCATTCATTGATGAAATTTTTGTCCAGAGTGGGATTTGAACCCCGGCCATCAAGATCTGTAGGCAGACACGCTACCGACAGAGCCATCATGTGGCTTCATATATACCTATAATGTCGAGAGAGAGGAATTTAAGTGCATGGTGTGCGCGAGGAGAAGAGCGCCGTCGGCGTCCGCAGTGCCAGCAGTAATGAAACAGCGGGCAGTGCCATGAGGAGTCGAGTCTTCGTTCTCTTTTTCGGTAAACATATTTATATATTTACACGCACGTATGCGTACAAGAGCGGTGTACAATGAACTGTTTTCGTGGGCCCACCCGCGAGTGAAAAAACAAGAACCGTCCCGTCTGTGGTTTATTCTCACCGAGAGTTTGTACCTCATATACGGGTAGTTTGCAGCGGCCAGCATTATTTTCCACTGCAACGGTACACCTATACACACACACACCAGACAACCAGAGCGTCGTTCGTGGTGTGCGGAGACGTAAGTATATACCTATATATATAGGCAACTCACAAGTGAATCAACCCTATACCCGCGAAATAAAATCATGGGGCTTTTTATTTTCGTTCTTACAATCGTTACTTTTACAAACTGTGCAGCTCGACAGCTGTCCTTACGTGTGTGTGTGGAATGACCCAGAAACGCGTCACTCCCCCAGCCCTTGCGTATCGCGTCCTTTTCACTCTCTCTCTCTCTCTCTCTCCTCTACTTCTTGGGGGGCCCTATAATATGTTATCTTTCTCGTTATGTCAATTGGTTATTTTTCCATCACGAAAAATGTGTTTTTTTTTCTCGTTTGATTGGGCATCTCCTGCAGCTTCCCTGTCGCCCTATCGGGTGCTTTGGCTCATCCGATACCTCATCGCGTTACACACACTCGGTAATCTTGACAATTGTTTTAATCAGCTCGAATAGGCGCTTTATCGTTGCTTCTCCCATCCCTGTGAGCATCTTTTTATTATTTTATTTTATTTTTTTTTTTTTTGTTTATCATTCTCGTTACGATAAATATATTGACCATCGTACAATGAAATGGAAATCTGTGGGTTTTCTACAATTTGACGTGTTTTCATACATTCAATGATTATATACTTTTGTGGACAGAGTAATCCGTACAAAGGGTTACCCAAAGTACGAAAATAATAATGATCATGAACTCAAATAGTTGATCTAAACGTATGTAATCACTTTAAATAATGATAATAATAGCTTTGACGCAGAGTTTGTAATGTAGATGAAACTGTAAGGACGATCATAAACCCAAGATAATGATAATACTTCTCCACTGATATTATTTAGGATCGTACGTCAAAATGAAAATTCAAATTTTACATCCCTTAAAATTTTAGTATACACGTATACACACACTTTACATATTTGAATGGGTCATGCAACGAAAAGGTAGAACTTGATTTATAATACTTGTATCAATTAATGAATAAAAAACGGGTTACAGTAATGACGGGTATGAAGTTCCAAACGAATGTTCAGCAACACCTGTAAAATTCGTACTGACGCCGTTATTCGCGTTCACGATTCAAATTATGTAAACATTCCTTAAAGGGCTGACCACGTGATCCCACAATTTAAAATAGTCAACCAAATGTAACCACGACTGAAATGGAGTTTGTATACTTACTATTTCCCAGAAACACTATTGATCTTTCTTGAAAAAAAAAAAAAAAAAAGCTAGCATAAATTACTTCCGGATACTGCGGTGAACAAATTTTTTAAAATCACCACTAGTAGCAAAATTTTGAAAGTAGACAGGTTACTGGTAACGACATGACTTTTTTCAATTTAATCTCCCAATAAACAACAGTGTACGGTATTAAAAAAAAGTTTTGCCATAAAATGGTAAATTGATCGTTCGAAATAATTGGGCAGGGTAAGAAATAATCAAGTTTTTGTAAAATGACCAATAACATTCTATCTCCGAGTAATAGTTCTAAAGAATGTTCTGAATTACAACATTTAATACAAATGAGCTTACCGAATGTACGTACTTCAAACAAGTCAGGGAATGTCGGAAAATAAAAAAAAATAAAAAGTAACGCACCTTCGCGAGTCAATAAAGTATGGCATAAGTACAGACAGAGAGAAAAGAAAAACGAATTGATTTTCCTTCGATGCATAAGTTTTTCAGCAACTTATAAAAAAAAAAAAAACAAAAAAAAAAAAAA